GGCTAGCAACTCTGCGCCTGTGCTGAAGGCTATGCAGATTGGTTTCAACCAATTTCGGGTCACCAATAAGCCTTCTCGCACGCCTCTCCATTGAATCCAATGCCGAAAAGTGACATTTTGCGGCACCAGCCCAAATGTGGCAGCAGTACTCCACACACGACCGAACCTGCGCTTTGTACAACATCAAAAGCTGTTCTGGTGTGAAGTACCGCCGGACCTTCGCTAGGATACTTAGCTGCCGTTTTAGCTTTGGACTCAATGAACCGCCCAAAGTTAAGGTTAGAGGATATCTCTACTCCCAATAACTGAAGGCGGTCGGTATATTCCAAGGAGACATTTCGGAGAGTAGGAGTCAAGGTGAACGGACTCCGTTTGGCGGTGAACAGACACGCTTGTGTTTTGGTGGCGTTGAATCTCACAAGGTTGGCATCGCCCCATTCGGAGACTGCCTGAAGTGTGAGACTCATACGTGCTACCATGGCCTCTCTTTCAAACTGTATTTGGTCTTTACTAGCCCGGGCGTTAGGCAAGTATCTCTCCACGACTGTGCTGTCATCTGCGTATCCATAGATGCCGGGTATGAGTAAATCGTTAATGTGCAGCAGGAAGAGAGTTGCGGAGAGAACAGACCCCTGAGGAACTCCGGCATTGGTTGCCATTGCTCGTGATGAACGGCCATTGACAACGACTCGGAACGAACGTTCTCTCAAGAAGTCATTGATATACGTGAGTGACATACGCTAGAAGATCTCCTGTAGACCGGTTTCGGCGAAACCCGTACTGTTGGTCGCTGAGGAGATCATTGTGTTCTAGGTATGCCATTAGGCGTCTGTTCAATATACGCTCCATAATCTTGCAGAGTATGAAGGTAATCGAGATTGGCCTATAGTTGGACGGATCGGCACGGCTTCCTTTTTTGGGCACAGGTTGCACATTGGCAAGCTTCCATGATTTGGGCACTATCCCAGTCCGAAATGAGAGGCGAAACAAGCGTGTCAATACAGGAGACAACTCGGGCGCGCAGCGCTTTAATACAACCGCTGGTATACCATCAGGCCCACTAGCTTTGTTAACGTCTAGGCCTCGCTTAGTTTTTAGGACCTCCTTATTAGTAATGCAGACCTCAGGCATAGAGGTACCACAATGAGGTATCTGAGGTGGAGTGTTGTTGCTAGGGTCTAGACGCGAGTTTTCGGCAAAGAGAGATGTGAATAGTTCCGCTTTCTCAATTGCCGCGTGGGCCAGGGAGCCATCCGGTCTTACCACCGGAGGCAGCGTAGGCTTACAGAAATTAGCTTCGACCGCTTTGGCGAGTGACCAAAATTCTCTACTGGGCCGAGAGTTTTGCGCCGATATGTCTTATGCGATCGTTACCAGCTTTCTGCAATGCCTTCTTGCAGGACTTGGCGGCTAGGTTAAAGGCTTTCTTCTTGGATGTTATATCAGGAGCTTTGCGGTGTCGAGCATCAACCCAGGCGAGATACGCTGACTGCTTACGTTTTTCTGCTCGAACGCATTCGGCGTTATACAATGGGCGTGTTTTGCCACCGCTGAGCTGTTCAAACAGCCGAGTCGTCTCCTGGTCACCGCTGTGCGATCGGTAGACACAAGAGTACAGAATTTTGTCCGTACCTGTGTCCACCAATACCCAGATAGTGGAGAGAGTGCTGTCTTCAAATTGACTGAGATGCTGACAGCAGATATCGTTTCGGGCATACGCACAGACTCCGGCGCGAGGGTGAAAATTGTGCTCCAATGTGTATCCAGGATAGTCTAGGTATGCCGAACTCGACGGACATCCGATTTGCGACTCCGTCAAAAAGAGCAAGTGGGGCTTTTCAGTCTCTAGGTGGTGGTGGACTGAGGCAAAGTTTGAGTGCAGACCTCGAATATTTGTGAGGCCGCCGTCTGACTCCGGAGACTGCCGTCGCCGCCCACCGTCCGGAACGGATCGTTAACGCTTAAGCTCCTCGCAGAAAAATTAATAACTTTGGCATCTTTGAAGTTACGAACACGTGTAATACATCAAAACGTGCGCGAAAGTGTGCCCTACACGCCAATAAAAAGTGCATAAAAATCGCGAAAGTGTGTGAAAAGTTATTCGCAAAAAACCATATTTCATACACGTGGTTTTGCAAAAAATTGCATGTTTTAAGTGAATAAAAAGTGACACAGTGAACGGATTTCAGTGCTCAAAGAGTCGTTCGACGCGCAATTGCGCGCCCCACCAGGCAAGCCGGGCAGCCTACCAGGACCTCGCGGATCCAAGGAGTTATTAGGGTTTTCCTACATAACCTAAAACCACGAGGTCGGAGAACCAGCAATCCCGGAGCCACGCAGACTAGGTGGGAAGAAGCAGTACAATGAGCCAAGGCCGGGGACACTTTGGGCCTAAAAATCCGTTCAGAAACAACCAAGTTATCAAGGTTCGAAGTACACAAACTTTATTTTTTAAGTTAAGTTTAAATTTATCTATGGAACCAGTTGGACCTTTTGAACTGCTCGAGTAGAGCCCAAGGAGACGCATCTTTTGACACCTCACATGCCAGGATCCACAGGATACATCGAGGGTTATCCTCCACCAAAGACAAGGGTAGTTTTTTCCCCTGCCCCTGCTGACTACAGGATTGAAGCTACAACACCGGAATTTTTATATATTGTGTAAATGGATATAAGCTTTGTCTGTACAAATTTTTAGATTTTAGAGCCAATAGTTTTTAAGTAATTGTGTTTTTACCCCTTTTTCACCCCCTTACGTTTAAAATATTATATATAGCTACAAACCGACACCAGGGAAGGTTCTATAACCCCTCCGGTATCCCTAAAAACCCCAAAGTACGACCTTCCAGCGTGCGTAACACGGAAAACGAAAATTAGCCGCCGACCAACGGGCCGAAACTTTGCCCCCTCATAACTCATTAGATATTCCAAATTTCTCAACGCGGTTTTCAGATTAATATTTGGCATTAAATCCCCTAGGCCCCTTCAGGGCCCAAAATTCAAAAATCCTAAATTTTGGACTTTTCATTTTTGAAAAAAATTTCGGACCCAAAATTCTCTCGGACCCTCGTTTTGGAACGGGATTCCCATAGATCTCCTCCCCCTCAACCCAACGTCGAAATCCCCACGCCTCTGCGGCACGTATTGACGGAGATGTTAATTTCCAAAAAGTGGTCGGCCATCTTGGTTCGGCCATTTTGGAAATTTTGGAACCTCCATATCTCCGTCAATATTGGACGTAGAAAGCAGGGATTTCGGATCACTTCCGTCCCCATATCCCCTCCACACATCCCATAGGGTGAGGCTTGGATTGGAGGGGTTGAACTCAACCCCTCAATCTTGAGATTGCCTTGGCAAGATCTCACCTTCCCTCCCAAACCACTCCAAGTCCCAACTTCGTGCGACGAATAGGGGTAGAGTTATAGTCCTCCAAAGTTTGGGGGGGTCACTTCACCCCCTTATTTTGAGAGGCTGTAGCTCGGGTAACTTTCGTCGCACAGGAACGGGATTTCCTATATATATAATCCCCTGCCAAGCCCTACCAGACCCACAGGGCAAATTTGCCCTAGCTCAAGGTCCCGGGGCAGATCCATCTGACCCCGGAAACAGGTGCGGCAGGGCCCCCTCTCCTATAATCCAAAAAGTCCCAGTTTCACAGGGTTAATAGTTCCGGAGATATTGGCACTCGTCCCATTCGGGCCGAGTTTTTTTGCCGATTTTTAAAGGGGTATATCTCCGGAACCACTCATCGGAGCGGGGCGAGCGAGGTATCGGACGAAAGGTCCGCCGCGACACACTAGACCCGGGATTTCTCGAGAAAATCTCGGAAAACTCGGAAAAACGCCTAACTTTATGGTTTTTTACCAAAAAAAATTGAAAAAATTAACATAAACGGTAAATTATAAAAAATTAACAATACTAGGAAATCGCGACAAAAATATATATATTTCCAAAAATATTTTGACTTTTACTTTTACCCAATTTTTATAAAATTAAGTTTCTTTAATGACAACGTACCCTATTGGGACGTGTCTTAGAATAAGAAAAACGGACTAGACGCATTGAGCTAGGCTCTGCAATTAACAAATACACAACACGCACACACACATACACACAAACAACATAACAAACACACACAACCAAGTATAAATAATAAAAAACAATACATACCTACACGCCGAGGAGAGGACCAGCAGTTGATCTGCCAAATAGGACGACGGCACCTAGAACAAAAAACAAATATCATAATACACACCTAAAACATACACATACACACAAATAAAATATTACATTACAAATAAAATAAATAATTACATCATAGAATCCGCTCCCCAAAACACATAAACAACAAATAGTAAAGGCATTTAGAACAAATTAAAATGTATAAATCACCGAAACCTGTACCAAGGCAGACTAGCAGCCAAGAGTCGATGCCCACTCCCTCACCAAGGAGGAGTCTGATCAGCAATCCGGAAACACCACCAAAACCGGAAAAGGAAAAGGCAAAAGAGTGGGGTCCTGATATGGACAGATTCTGGAGTGATCTATCAAGCATAGTAGGCAAACTGTCCAAAGTCCTAGAAACGATGGAAACCCAACCCACTTTAAGAAAAGATAGAATAATTTTAACAATAAGGAAGACAAGAGAAAAAATGAAAACGATGGAGACTACAGGAGAGGATATAAGAAGCTACATAGAACAGCAAGAGATAAGATTCGGCGCTTTAGAAAGAGACGTAAAAGAATTAAGGAAAGAGAAACAAATCATGGAGAAAATCGAAGAAATGATGACCATGCAAAATAAAATGAACAAACAAATGGAAAATATAGAGACAAATACCGATATCTTAATAGAAAATAGAACAAAAATAATTGATAAAATAGAGCAAACAGAGGACAACATAATAGCTGAAGTTATCGATATGGGAAGAAGAATGGGTGAAAGGATAGAGGACAGTGGGAATGATATTAAATAAGAAATTACAAAAAAAGGAATTCAAATGACAGAACGACACGAACATCCAACCATACAAATAAATAACAAGGAGATCATAAACAAAATAGAAGAAACTGGAAAATACTTGAATGAAAGGATAACACACGCGAGAGAGGAAACTATAAAAGAAGTAAAGGATAAGACAAAAGGGATAAAAGAGCAACTGGTAGAAAATATAAAGAATAACAACAAGGAAATTAAAAAAGACATAGAAGAAAATATAAAAAAGATAGAAGATGAAATTAAAAGAACACCGCAGAAAAATATTTCACCATCAGAAGAGACACTTCAAACATACGCAAAGATAACGAAAAACAAGAACATAAAAATCCCCAAGGCCATGCACTCAATAGTTATATCATCGGATAATATAATAGATACGGCGGAAGAAGTTTTAGATAAGGCCCAAAAAATTCTGGATCCATGTAAAGAACAAATTAGAATTGATAGAATAAGAAAAGGGAAAAATCAAAAAATAATAATGGGATGTATGGGACCAGGAGGAAATTGAAAGGATAAAAAATAAACTAGCAAAAGCAAAAGGAATACAAATTGAAAACATTAAAAACAAAGACCCTCTAATACTGATTAGAGATGTCATCTATAAAATGACAGAAGAAGAAATTTTCCAATCCTTGATGAGACAAAACCCCGAAGTATATAAAGAAGAAGAACATAAAAAGATGAAACTCAAATATAGGAAAAAATCCACCAACCAAGACCGATGCCATGCAGTCCTCCAGGTCCATCCTGAAGTATGGAGGAAAATGACGGAACAAGGGCCCCTCTACATGGGGATGGAGCGGCTAAAGGTCGAAGACCAATCGCCGCTCATCCAATGTACGAGGTGCCTCGGATTTGGACACGGTAGAAAATTTTGTATGGAAAATGCGGACAGATGCAGCCACTGCGGAGGCCCCCACCTACGAGCAAATTGCCCAGATAGGGAAGCAGGGAATCCACCGAGGTGCTGCAACTGTGCGCACGCTGAATACCCGGACCAACAGCATAACGCCTTCAGCACAGAGTGCAGAACAAGAGAAAAGTGGGAGTACCTGGTGCGCTCGACCACACAATACATTTAAAGAAGCCCAGGAATCTAGGATCATAAACAACACTACACAAATACACAAAAATACACTAACAAACCAAAAATCACACAAACAGACTCACACAAACACACACAAAAACCATAGTGAAACTCATTATGGGATGAGCGAAACTATGACACACCACACAATGCACACAAAACTTTGTAAGAATTATCATGAGTATAAGACTCTACAAAGGAATAACAAAAGAAAAATAAAAGCAAAAGAAATGAGCACAGTAAAATATGAATAGCATATTTTCAAGTGCTCAAAACTCTAAATAGGAAATAGAATAAAACAAGATGTATAAACCGGACAAGACAAAAATAAAAAAAAAAAAAACAAAAGACGTAACTAATACATAATAGAAACAAACAACATAAGGGGATGAAATACACTAAAGAAATATATATAGGATATGTAATATAAATTTGGATAGATAGAAATAGGATTGATTACTAAAGAAACAAAAATGTAAGATTAGAGATAACATAAGTATAAGTAGAATATAAAAAATGTAACTAGGATAATTAACATTAAGATAGACTGTAATAAAAACAACTTGAAAACTAGCAATGTAATTAGAATAATTAAAATTATAGAAAATGTAATACCACCTAGAATAAATAAAATGTAAAGAAGTGTAAAATAAGATAAGAAAAAGCAGTGTAAATAGAAGTAGAATATAAAGAAATGTAACTAGGATAATTAACCTGAAAAATAAGAAAATGTAAAATAAATAACAACATACTATGTAACGGGAAAAGAAACCCGAATCCACCAATAAAAGAAAAGACTACATTTATTGAAGTACATATAAAAATAAGAAGTAAATAAAGAAAATTAGAATAGGACCAGATAGTAATAGATGCAACAGACCCAGTTGCTCGAAGTATGGAAGGGAAGAATAAGAGAAAGATACAGCACGAGGAATGGAAGGATGTGGTAAATGATAGAAATGGAATGAAAGAGAAGGTAGAATAAAAACGGCCTGCTACAAAGTGGGGAGCGGTAGGAAGCTCGGCCAATTATGTAAGGCCGGGCATTAAAAAAAAATATATATATATATTTGTGAGGTGCACTTTTATAGGTTGAGAATATCCTTGGTATTAAATCCTAGGCACTGCTGTTTGAGCCATAACGATTAAATAAATAAACCATCGGTTCGACGACGATGTCTGCTTTATGTTGTGTGTGAACCACGCCCACCTCATTAACTTTGGGAAACGCAAGTGTGACTAGCGTCTGATGAGTGAACCTAGATTTTTTCCCGTAATTATGTAATTCGAATTGAATTTCTAAATATTTTTTCCATATAACAACGTTTATGTTTTGTTAGATTAATGTGCAATCACGTACATTTCTGACTCTTTTTGATATGGCACTCCTATCGGAGATTGTACAGCATAATGGCTATCTTTATTTTTGAGGCTGCTGCTCGGAACAGGGATGTAATGCTCCATCCAAACCCATTCTTTAAATTCTTAAGCCAGGAATGTCGCCTTCTTCCAGCACTACATTTCCCCATACTTTTTCCCTGAATTTTAAATGAAGAACTCCGTATTTCTTATTCCTCATGTACGTTACCCAAAATAAGAGAGTTTGTGGCACTTGATGATAAGCTTGAAATCTTTGCCTATCCCTTGGAGTACTGATACGTTCGTCACCTTGTCACACCATGAGATCTTCAGCATGCGAATTAAATTTCTATTCTAAATATTATTTATCCTCTTATAGTAAAATTATATTTTTTTGATATGATGACTAACTATGTGTATCTTTGTTAGTATAAATTCAATGTTTCCGTTTAATAAATTAATGAAATTAGGTCTAGTGTAAGCTAATTTTTAAAATGATACAGCTTTGTTATTGTTCACATATGGCTTTTTCCTTTTTTTTTGGCATTTTTCCGAACTGGACATAGATTCATATTTTATATAGGATAACTGGATTAATTTGTTTGCGGTTGCCACTCAATTCTGAATGCCACGTGTGCTTGCCGCGTCAACATGTGTTCCCTTCGGTTTATGTGGCATAAAAACAAAATTGTAAACGTGGCTAACACCATAGTGTCGTGAAGGTTTACACACAATTCACAGACCAGTAGGGAGCACAGATTAAGGATGCCTCGCGATCTAGTGACATTTTGTTTGCACCATAAAGTATGGACTGCGTATAGATATACCATAGAGACTGTATAGAGGACTACTTTGTTTATTTACTTATTTTTTTCCCCTTTTTTTATTATTAATACCTATTAATGACTTTATTTTAAGGCAAATGAATCTATGCAGTCTTATGGTTTTCATGGTGATACCTCCCTTGTTTTCACTGTTTACAACAACACGTCGGGTCATTTTTTTTTTTTTTTTCTTTCTATTCGGGCCATATCGATTCATTCGATTAATGTATTAATTAATTAATGTATTAAAGTCAATATGGTTCAAATGGTCCAATAATCAATTGTAACGTAATGACAGAAAGAAACTTAAGTTGTTAATAAGCATATATAAGTTGTAAATATAAGTAGTACGGCACTCCACGACAGGGGCTCTCAGAATATCAGTGCTTTTGTGGTGTTTACTGTCACAAAAGATATCAGAGAGAGCCACCTGGTTGGCCACCCAATACATATTTGTGGTGTTTTTTTTTCTTTCTTTCTTTTAATAATGTTGCACGTGTTGTGCTGTTTTATGTATTTAAAGGCCAATAAAAACTTTTTCTTTCTTTCTTTCTAATTTAGTTTTCCATTCCGCTGTTGAGGACAACCAATTGTGTTTATAACGGCTTATATTGAAAAAAATAATAGGTAAAAAGGCTTTACAAAATCCAATAAAGACATTTATTAGACATTACAATCACGTATATCGGCGATGTGTATACGCCTTAACGTTACGCAGAAACGTTTGACATTTTCATGGTAACTTTGCAATTTTCCGATTAACCGGAAAACAATTTTCATTTCTACCTGTAATTCGTTTTTCCTTTCAAACAAATTTCCAGAAAACGTTATATTATGTTTCGTTCGACGGTAAGTCGTCTTTATGTGAATAAGGTACATGTAAAAATAAGTTATAACTGCCATATTACAAAGCTTTTTAACATCAACAAGATATCTTTTAATTATTTACATTGTATGTCTTATTTCTGTTTTCGCATATGTAAACATTTTGTAAATACTATATTATAGACGTAGTGATGGCGCGATCACCAATGAAATAGCTTGTAGTCATGTGGATAAAGTGTGCGCATCTGGGAAGTGTACTAACTATAGTAATTAAACAATAAAAACACATGACTACTTATCCTGCTCCTCAACACCTCTTCGGACACAATCTACAATCCGCCTCACGTTTCCCTAATTTCTTTTGACATTTTCTCTTTTCTAGACATTTAAAAACAACGTCCGCTCTCTTTCTACATATGACACTACAGAGATTAGATAAATAATTTCAAATTATTAAACTCAAAAATAATTTTATATAAATATGGGACAATTATAGCTTCATTCCATGTGATTGATTCACAAGCTTTCAATTTTATTTCAATAGCTGCCTACTTTTATACGATAAAAAATAACTTCAAGTTGAAGTTTGAAGTTATTTTTTATCGTTACAAACAAAGTTAACAAACAAAGTTACACCCTTTTTTTAAAATATTGATATAAATCACTCGCTTTGAGAGAGATCTGCTTTCATGTTTTTTTACATCTTTTAAAAAAATATAAATAGACCATAGATAAATTGAACCTCAAAGAAAAGATGATATTAGAAAGCCTGGTTACTAAAAACCTCAGTTACGGAAAATTCTAAGTAAAACCATTTCTAATACTAATAGTTCATAACAGAACAGAAAATATGTAGATAACAATAGAGTAAATATAGTAAAGAAAAATATCTACTAACATACTTAAATTCAAATAATAAAATAAATTTAAAACAATATAACTCATCTTGAAGTGTCTGTCGCGGAACGTCAGAATCGGAAGTAATAAATTATATGAGTTCTGACATTCGACCCTCGACGGAAATTCCGTCGCGTTTAGGGTGAACGTCCATATTGTTCCACCTTAACGCATACTTGTGTGAGATGTTTGATCTTCATCAGATTGGTATGCAACAATTCTTATTTATGTAGTAATGGTTCTGATTCTATATTTGATGCTGCTACATTTGCGTTTACTTTATTTTATCAATAAAATTTATTAAAAAACGAAAATATGTATGATAAAATACGTAATTGTTGTTGTGCTTAAAGTATAAAAAACAGACCATGTGCCAGTCGGACTCATGCATTAATGGTTTTATTCCGGAAGAAAGCAAAAAAATCACGTTTGTTATATGTGAATTACACATGAAAATAATTATATTATTTTGTTTTTTAATGATTGTTATAGCGGTAATAATGATAATTTCAACTG